ATTAATTGGTTTTATTTTTAATCAGACATAATTTTTATTATTTCATTCAAATGTTATTTTGCGTGGATACTCATATTTGAGTAGACGCTCCGTTTTTTTAGAGACCTTTTATTTCGTCGTCCGCCTCGCATACTCGAGAGAACTTAATAAAGATCTCTTGCTTATACTCGTGCCAACTTTATCAAAATATCTGGAAATGAGTTGGGAAAAGCGAATTCATGCCTTTCCAAATTTCATAAGTAGATGTAAGCAAACTCGAACTCGACTCTCTGGTTCCATTGACCTTGTTGTTTACCATTAAGCCATTGCCCCTATCCCGCACAAGCTTTACAAAACAAAGGACAAGGAAGAATGGCTTACAGAAACCGAAAGACAACAATGTTGATTTTGGAAACTAATAATATATATGTTCGTCATTGCATCGCGCTTAGCCCTTAAGATTTCGATGACCCTGCAGAAAATTTAAAAGCTTAAGTAAAACAAAAAAGAAAAAGAAAAAAAGAAATCACTTTTTAAAATAAGAGGCAAAATCTTTATCCAACTCTTGAGAATCATTTATTCCTCTCAAACAAAACAACATGATAGTGACCAGGTGTTTATGAAAGTCACGCAGGTCAGTCACCTTGAGTTTGTCTCCGGGACGAAAAGGTACCACCCAAACCATGCTCTCGCCTTGGAAAGTTCTTTATTATTTAATCTGGTGTTTTGAATAGGGAGGGGGAAGCAACCAGCAAACATTGGAAAATGATGCCATCGCCATTGCGCGAATACCATATATTACAGGACGAACAAAAACAATCTGTGCCGCAATATTTTATTTAGACATGAAACTACTTAGCTGAGCCTTTCTGTAATTTATCTCAGTTTTCTTGCAAATGGCTGATTAAAACAATGCAGAAATTGTCCATTTTATTTTATTTTTCTCGTCGGCTCTCTACATATAAAAGAATAAACGAATTATTAAGAAATGTAAACACTTCCCCAACTTCTTAATTTAGTTCTACTATTGAGAGTATTTCCGTCTGGTTAATATGGAGGGTACAGGGCTGGTAGAAGAGTTACGTGTGTCCCCCCACCCCAAGAAATCTTTGATATTCTTCCCAATCTATAATACAAAGCCCCCCTCCACTGTACTACGTTTCAATTCTCCTAAGGTAGTATTCATATAAAATACAAATTTTATTGCTAACTAATTATGTACAATAACAGACCGTACGCAATACAGGTGAACAATTCAACGAGAAAAATTCAAAATAAACACAATGTATCGAAATACAAATTAGAGATATGCTGATAAGAAAGAGAGGGTCACAAAGAACTGATCAGCATCCCCAATCAGGCTTGCTACCCAACCAGTCGGGGTGGGTGATTCGGGCTAGTACGTACCGGATCTGCGTTTATATATATATATATATATATATATATATATATATATCAGTGATAGAGCTAACATATTCAGTCATATGGATATGAGTTTGTAACTCTGGGTTTCACGCTTTTGCGATTATCAGACAAATTCTGAGTTTGTCTGATGATCGCAAAAAGCGTGAAACCCAGGACTACAAACTCATATCCATATGACTGAATATATATATATATATATATATATATATATATATATATATATATATATATATGTGTGTGTGTGTGTGTGTGTGTGTGTGTGTGTGTGATATTAATATTTTAATTATATCGCCTTCTGGTGTCATTTTTTTCCATATAAAATATAATTTTGAAAAGTGAAAATTTCACTGAAACATTTTGAAAAATTTCCAAGATTTTTTTTTTCTTTTTAAATCAAGAAAAAAGGACCGTTAAACAAAATGATTAGAATATATATATATATATATATATATATATATATATATATATATATATATATATATATATGGAATTACAAAAGAAGGCGTCAGTTTAACTCTGAACTTTGGAGAAGACAACGGGTAACCACTCCACAAAAATGACAATTCATAGATAATAAGGAAAATATCTATGGAGCGCCATGATGAAGATATGGCATTTAAATCGTTTCAGCGCTAAGACTAACGCAATGGTTAGAAAATCAATTCGCTCAAGAGTTGATATTTAATATGCACCCCCCTAAAATGGCCTTGTACCAAACTAGGCCAACTTCAAAATAACGAGCTGATGTTGGTTAAGCTATTTTTTGCGAAACCAGGTATTCGAATAGTAAAATCATTTATAAATTAAAATATATTTTGTTATTCAATGTCACTTTTGTTCTTCCATATATTGGCTATAATTTTCTGTACTTTTGAAAAACGAGATGATGAAGAATGTGAAGCTGCTCTTGAAGAGACAGAAATGGTAAATATCAATGATGTGGCATCGCAAAATGGTTGGTTAGGATAAAGAACGAAGCGTTTGTTATTGTTGCCGACAGCTGATGATATCGAATCGTAAAGTAAATATTTCTGTTGACTCTCAAAAGAAGCACTTGCGCGATTGCGTTCCCAAGAGACGTGTGCAGAGCTGATCTTACATTCTTGATGGATAAAATACACCTTGGCGCCTTGTACTGCAAATGTCCGGTTTATTTGGGTTTGGTTTGGTTTGTTTGACGGCATGTCAATCTCAATGGGTTATTTAATGCCGACAATTTTTATTACTAGTAATATTTTTAAAAAAATGTATTGCTGGTAATAATTCTTTTTACAAAAAAGAATTTCTGTTATTAAAACTTATTTTTACACTTTCATAGTGTTTTGACCCAAATTTGATGGTTAACTATTTGCCCATAGCTGGGACCCTAACATGTGCTACCACCCTGGGTCAGGGTAGACCTGGAACACCAGCAATAAAGAGGTGGTTCCATGCTTCTCAAAACCTCCGAATCAGAGGCCTTGCTGTCGGACGTAATTTATTGTCTTACCCAAGACGCGGATGTAGTTTACCGTCATACCATGGACGGGCAAATGTCCGATGAATATTGAATATTTAAAAGCACGTTTGATGAAACAAGCAGATACATCCTAAATTTAAGGAGGCACGGTGGAGTAATGGATAGCGGCTCGGAATTGAGGAATCGCAGAGCCGAGTTCGAATCCATTATATTCACTTATCTGCTAATACCCTTGGGAAAAGTATGAATCCTTTCCTTCTCTCTCCAGCTATGGGTAAATAGCAGGACAGACCGGATTCTATAGCCTTGGATGGCGACTGGTCTACCGCAATTGCGTACTGAATTCCTCACCAGGATTTAATATTTTGAAGTAATCTCTAACATTTTTTGTTGAGATTTACAAAGTCTATGTTTCGTTCAATTTCGAAAATCAATCGAAAAAGTTTGATTAAGCTGATCTGCTTGGGAAAATACTTTAACAAAAACTCTATTTCGCGGTTTAATCATTCCTTTAATTTAATTTAATTTTGTATAACTTCATGGTAAACAATATTTTTAAGAAAATTTCTTTTTTTCTTTTTCATTTTTAACATCAAAGAATAAATGCTTAGGATTTCTTACTCTTGAGCGTTCAACATACAACTGGCCATAGGTAAATATTTTTTCTGGAGCCAAATTCCCACTTTTTGTCTACATTTACAAACCACACGTCTCGCTCAATTTCGCAAACCAATGAATGAAATTTGAATAAATTGATTTGTTTAGAAAAATACTTTGGTGAAACCCTACTTTGTGGTTTAATAATTTCTTTAAATTAATTTTATAGGACTTCATGGTAAACAATATTTTTTAAGAAAATTTCTTTTTTCCTTTTCAGCAACGAAGAATAAATTCTTAGGATTTCTTTCTCTTGTGTATGCAACATACAACTGGGCATACGTAAATATTTCTTTCTGGAGCCAAATTCTAACTTTTTGAAGAATTTGGCCTTGTGATTTATTTATAGTTCTCGCAAACGCAAGGCGAACTGGAAACGGGATTCTTCTATATAAAAACTTAAAAGAAAAAGTTATTCAAAATCAGTATTGCATTTTTATTAAATAAATATTTGTTATTTTAATCATTAAATTGTTTTAAAATAGTATTTTGTATGTTGAATAATAAAACTCTTACTATTCCCCCAAAAATAATGAAAATTTATTGTACTAAGCTTTGCACCCGATTAACTGTTTTCAAAATTAGTTTCGATCAGTTAATGTATGGTTATTTTAGAATGTGCGATAAGTAGACCTTCATTTCTTCTTCAGTCTCTCTCGCTTCTTATTTTCGATGTTATTTAGGGTTGAGAAGCCTAATTCAACAATTCGCCCTTGCATGGAGTATTGCTTCCATATATGGTCTGGAGCCCCTTCTGCTTGCCTCGGGGTTCTTCCTAGGCTCCAGAGGCGGATATGCAATATAATTGGCCCTGATCTGGCATTTCGTCTACAGTCCCTCTCTCCCAGACGCGCCGTCGCCTCTCTCTGTTTGTTTTACAAATACTTTCATGGCAATTGCTCCGAGGAGCTGCATTCGCTGGTTCCCAGACTTCATGAGTTCAAGCGCCCTACGAGGCTGGCATCCCGCTCTCATCCCTTCACTGTCGAAACTCCTAAATGTAGCCGTCTCTTCAACTCCAATAGCATCATGTCTCGCACCTCTCGCCTGTGGAACTCCCTTCCCTGTTCTAGTTTCCCTGAGAGCTATAATCTCCAACTATTCAAGTGTAATGTCAATCGACATCTCCAGTTGCCTTGATCTATCCACTACCCTTCTCCTCATCCTTTCTTCTATCACTCCTATTTGATCTTGCTCCAAATTTTTTGTAACCCTTTGCGTCCTAGTGGCTTCCCGCCTTGCTTGGGGTGAAACGCTTAAAAAAAAAAAATTCCCATAAATAAGACGTAGAAAATTGCAATAAAACTGATAAAGCGTTTTTAGCTAATGTGGGATATTCCTTTTCTATTGAAATCCAAAATGTATTAATGGTTACTGTCGAATGTTTTATTTTGAGCCGTCGATCACTAGTAATGGTGGCCAATTCTCCTTCTTCACAATACTAGAAGAAACATTTATGAAGGGATTTCGAATCCAGTCACACTTTGGCGGCACAATTAAGAGGGTCGCACGGCAAATTGGTGTGCCGCTGAACAGCGGTTGAGAATCAATAAGCTAATGTTTTATTATGCGGGAGGTACAACTGGAAAATATACATGGGAGGTATTTCTGCCGCACCCTGTATTTAATAGATATTGTCGACTAAGCGAAGTCAAGAAGAGAGTCTTTGTAATTGACTTATATTCTAGAAATAATCATTGATAACGTATGTGCTTAAGCAAGAGAACAGTTTCGACATTTGCATGATTAGACTGTGTCTGACACAAAGTCAATACTCATTGAGCGATGGTGAGAAACACTTTGTCTTACAACCTTTGGTCGACTCAGATGAAGAATAGAAGACATTCAGATATTTTGAGCTATTGAGGATTCTTTAAATCGCCGGAAAATAAACAAATGCAACATTGAAAAATGTGTTTCTTAAAAGAGAAAAAAAAACTTACGAATCATTTGGATCACAATCTCTGAATCCCTTGGCAAACGGATTACTTGCTATTTTCAGTTGTGTAATCTGTTCAAAAAGAAAAGAAGGAAAACTAAGAATTTAGGGCTGAGTTCGATTTCGTTTGAATATTAATTAATCACTGGTTCGATGTTTTAAAAATCAAACATTTTATCAATTTTGGTATTGAATCAAAATCTAAACACAAATATCGATTTTTTTTTACACGAAAAAGATGCAAAAGTGAGAAGATAAGAAAATATAAGAAAGGTTCAAAATGAGAAAACATAAGAAAGGTCCAAAATGAAAAATATAAGAAAGGTCTAAAATAAGAAGACATAAGAAATGTCCAAAGTGAGAAAACATAAGAAAGATCCAAAATGAAAATTATAACAAAGGTCTAAAATGAGAAGACATAAGAAAGGTTCAAAAGGAGAAAGCATAAGGAAGGCCTAAAATGAAAATTATAAGAAATGTCTAAAATGAAAAATATAAGAAAGGTCTAAAATGAAAAATAAAGAAAGGTCTAAAATGAGAAGACATAAGAAAGGTCCAAAATGAGAAAACATAAGAAAGGCCTAAAATGAGAAAACATAAGAAAGGTCCAAAATGAAAAATATAAGAAAGGTCTAAAATGAGAAAACATAAGAAAGGTTCAAAATGAGAAGACATAAGAAAGGTCCAAAATGAGAAAACATAAGAAAGGCCTAAAATGAAAAATATAAGAAAGGTCTAAAATGAAAAATATATGAAAGGTCCAAAATGAAAAATATAAGAATGGTCTAAAATGAGAAAACATAAGAAAGGCCTAAAATGAAAAATATAAGAAAAGGTCTAAAATGAGAAGACATGAGAAATGTCCAAAATGAAAAAAAAACATAAGAAAGGCCTAAAATGAAAAAAAACATAAGAAAGGTCTAAAATGAGAAAACATAAGAAAAGGTCCAAAATGAAAAATATAAGGTCTAAAATGAGAAGACATAAGAAAGGTTCAAAATGAGAAAACATAAGAAAGGCCTAAAATGAAAAATATAAGAAAGGTCTAAAATGAGAAAACATAAGAAAGGTCTAAAATGAAAAATATAAGAAAGGTCTAAAATGAGAAAACATAAGAAAGGTCTAAAATGAAAAATATAAGAAAGGTCTAAAATGAGAAAACATAAGAATGGCCTAAAATGAAAAATATAAGAAAGGTCTAAAATGAAAAATATATGAAAGGTCCAAAATGAAAAATATAAGAATGGTCTAAAATGAGAAAACATAAGAAAGGCCTAAAATGAAAAATATAAGAAAGGTCTAAAATGAGAAGACATGAGAAATGTCCAAAATGAAAAAACATAAGAAAGGCCTAAAATGAAAAACATAAGAAAGGTCTAAAATGAGAAAACATAAGAAAGGTCCAAAATGAAAAATATAAGGTCTAAAATGAGAAGACATAAGAAAGGTTCAAAATGAGAAAACATAAGAAAGGCCTAAAATGAAAAATATAAGAAAGGTCTAAAATGAGAAAACATAAGAAAGGTCTAAAATGAAAAATATAAGAAAGGTCTAAAATGAGAAAACATAAGAAAGGTCTAAAATGAAAAATATAAGAAAGGTCTAAAATGAGAAAACATAAGAAAGGTCTAAAATAAAAAATATAAGAAAGGTCTAAAATGAGAAAACATAAGAAAGGTCTAAAATGAAAAATATAAGAAAGGTCTAAAATGAGAAAACATAAGAATGGCCTAAAATAAAAAATATAAGAAAGGCCTAAAATGAGAAAATATAAGAAAGGTGTAAAATGAGAAAATATAAGAAAGGTCAAAAATGAAAAATATAAGAAAGGTCTAAAATTAGAAGACATACGAAAGGTGTAAAATGAGTAAATATAAGAAAGGTCCAAAATGAAAAATATAAGAAAGGTGTAAAATGAGAAAATATAAGAAAGGTCTAAAATGTGAAAACATAAGAAAGGTTCAAAATGAAAAGCACAAGAAAGGTCTAAAATTGGAAAATATAAGAAAGGTCTAGACTCTAAAGTATACGGATACTGGAATGAAAAAGGCTTCTACATAAGAAAACTAATATAGAAGTGTTCGGGGAGTTAATGATGGGGTGGGTACACGGGAGAGAGTTCGAGAGCGGGTGCGAAAAAGTTCGGGAGGCACATGTTTTTTTTTTTTTTTTAATTAAAAGCAACTGAAATAAAATAAAGAGTGACGGGAATATTAGGAGGTGAAAAAAGAGAGCAGGGTCAAGCCAGGTTGCGAGATGGGTAAAAAAAAAAAACAGAACTAATATGAAATAAGCTATAGAGATCATAAGAGAAAAGGAGGTTGAACCAATGCGAACGAGGAGGATGCAAGACAGACAAAGAAGAAGGGGTTCGGTACAAATCGAGGTGAGATTACCAATGCTCGCCAGCGCAAAAACGTTGAGGCTTGACGTGCACTGCGCCATTTTCAGAAGCGCTTGGCAAGGAAGAGTGAAATCAAACTACGTCAGTTGACCTCTGCCTGACTGTCCACATGATGGATGATGGCAGACGCCGGGTGAGGCAGTACAGCTACAAACTTGTGCAGTCTGTTCAAACGCTGGGTGGAAGAATCGAGTCAGTCTGAGCTGGGGTGACAGAGAACAAGAATGAAGAAGGGTGCGAAAAAGAAACTTAACGACAAGTGTATTCTGCACTCTTAAGAGGGTTTATCGATATAACGCGTCTCAACACAGCAATTCGGATAGAAAACGATGAGTTCATGTCTCACAATTTTTAAGATGAATTTAATACAATTTCACAAAAACAAACACAGACCCATTTCCATATGCCTTTATGTACAGTGTAACCCGGATATAAGAGAGTTGTCGGGACCGGAGAAGAAGTCTCTTATATCCGGGTTTCTCTTTTATCCGGGTTTGGTCTATTTTATATACATTAACACAGGCTCTAATTTGGGACCAGATAAAATCTCTATTATATCCGGGTTTCTCTTATATCCGGGTCTCTTATATCCGGGTTACACTGTACTACCATGAAAACGATACGTAAATTTAAGTCATATATTTTTAAAAATAAAAGATCTTTATCGAAGCTTTTAATTTAATTTTAATTTCAAGCGAATAAATTAAATTTAATATTTACAATGAGTAGAACACTTTTCTGTACTTAAAATCAAATTTAAATTAATTGGAATTATTTTTTCTGATTATCAGTAAAATCGTCCATGTTGAAAAATCTGTCAGCACGACATAATTCTCTTTATTAAAAAATATTTAAAAAATAAAATGTACTTTTTTGAAACGTTATTTAAGAAAAAATAGCTGATTTAAAATTTAATTAATCTGAGTTGAGACAAATATTACTCACTTTATTTTAAAATATCGCAGAAAAGCATTTTTAACACAAAGTGGTGTATTTTTATTAGGTGTTGACACAATTATCGATAGCCGAATGTTTGAGAAATTTAAGTAAGGAGATAATTGTAATAAAATTACATGACGAATACAACGTAAACGCCTTATTTTTATATATTTTTTAACTACCCAGTAATATTTAAAATCTAAAATATTTTAAGCATTCTAGTATAGTCTTATTTACGGAGATTGTTGTTAAGGAAATGTTAGAAAATTATCAATAAATTTTAAATTTATTAGAGTTACCGTTCCTATTTTCAGATAATATCGTGTATGGACATCCGTATTTACAAAAAATGGTACGTTCATACACACACAAAAACAATTCAAAATTCTTTTTAAAATGCCGAGGGAACTGTAGCAGCCTACTCTATTTATGATTAGTAGATACAATTTTTATTTAATAAAAATATCCCTTGAGCTCTGCAAATTAATATAGAATTTAAAAATTTAAGCTCTTAAAAATTATTCTAAATAAAATTTAAAAAATGAAAACAATTATTGTAAAAGTTCATTATTCATCGAAATATTTTCTTATAAGATAATAATATTTATAATATATTTTATTCATAAAAGCAATTAAATATTTTCTAATTAAATAATATCTTATTTTTATTGTTTGTTTTTTGGGTTTGTTTTTTGTTATTTTACGATTCAGATTTTTTGTAACTGGGGTCTTTGGCCAAAAACGTTTGATGATTTAAATTCTTCGATGACTTTTCCCTATAACTAATGCTAGAAAAAAGAATGTCTCAAAATTTCATAAAATTAAATAAGTGTTGGTGTGTGGGAGGGGGGTAACAGATGAAAAAAAATATTTTTACGAAGATTTTCTAAAAAAGAAACATTTCTGAAATAATTTCATTCATTTGTGAATAACTTCTGAAAGTTTCATTAATATCTGACAATTATCTTATTTTTGCAAGAATTTTCAAATCAATGTTTTTTTTCACCGCAAAAAGAGGCGCTCAGATGTCCTATACTAATTTATGGTAGCCCGTTGATGCCAGTAAAACAAGATTTTTAACCAAAATTTGGAACGTTCTAAAACGGATTAAAATAAATCATTTTTACATTAATGATAACACCAAGATTTTTACATTTTTTTATTAAGTTGTTGGTATCTTTTCATCACGTATACTCATTTTTCAGCGCATCTTTGGAGGTATCCACATTTAAGGTTTTATTGGTGAACCTTGAGATAGGTTGCTCTTAACTTCCAAGTAGTCTGCCAGGAGAATCAGTTTTCAGAAGCTAGACTTTTATTTTTCAACTGGATTCGAACCCTACCCTCGAACAACGGCAGGAAACAACGATTTATTTATTAACAAACTCATTTACTACAGTTGACGAATTGCCTTAAACCAGCCATATGATTTATTATAGTTATCTATTCTTTCATCTCCTCATCGTATATAGAATTTGATTTTTTTTGTTTTAAGATTTTCATAAAATACGAGGTCTGTCTGAAAAGTAACGGGACTGGATGTGCTATGTGAGCTATGGGCATTGTTCACAGTGAGTTCTTGCCACAGGGGCCAAACGATTGATCACAAAGTCTATAAAGAGATCCTGCGTCGTTTGCGTTGCCCACTGCCCGAGAAGAGACGAGAGTTGTGGCAGGACAAATCGTGACTGCCTCACCACGACAATGCACCTGCTCACAACGCCCGGAACATCTGACAGTTCCTGACCGAAAGGAACATCACCGTACTGAAAAAAAAAATTCCCTATTCACCTGATCTTGCTTCGTGTGACTTTTTTCTATTCCCCAAGCTCAAGGGGATCATCAAGTGGACCAGTTTTGAAGGCATGGAGGCCATCAAGATGGCCGTAACGATGGAGTTGAGGGGCATCCGAGAAGAATCTTTCCAGCAATGCATAGAAGTGCGTCAGCGAAGGATGGAAAAGCGCATTAGACTTAAGGGGGTTATTTTAGAGGGGAAACCATGTAGATTGTTGTTTAGAATTAAAATAAATCTTTTGAGGCACCATTCCCGTTACTTTCCAGACAGACCTCGTATATTGTTTCCTGGGTATGTATCGCCCTCGGCCTATTTTTCTCCGATCCAATAATGCACAAACCAGCGATCGAAGAGAAAAGAACAATTAAAATTCAATGAATTGCACAGTGGATAAAGGCGTTAGTTAGATCCAGTGACAGGACCCAAAGAGTGTGAGTTTAGTATCTGGAGAAGGCGGTGGAGAACTTAGAGAGGGGAATTAACAGGAGATAACTGATAACTGACACCCATTAGACATGGTACGTGGAACTAGAACAGTCTATGCCAGCGAGCGAAATAAAGGGTTCAGTTCGACATTCCAACCACCTGAAGAAGGCTGGAGCGTACAACGGCCAAAACGTTGTGATGAATATGTCAACAAAGATGAGGACAATAGTCACAATAATGTAAATAGTATATTGGATGTCTCTTGTTTCAGCAAATCACAGAGGAAAAGTAAAAATCAGGGAGAACATTTAAACCATGTGAGAGACTGTAAAGCATTGCGTTAACGGTTGTACCGTTCCGAACTGACATGCCTGAAAAAAATCCAAGGTAAATTGAAAGCACCTTGATGGCATCATTTCTGTAATCAGTAAGAATACATAGGAGGAAAATGTAAATATTGATCTTAAAGAAAATTTAGTTTGGATGTTCATCGTAAAGTAGATTTAGTATGATGTTGATCTTAAATTAGGTTTAGTAGGATGTTAATCTTAAAGTAGATTTAGTTTGGATCTTCATCGTAAAGTAGATTTAGTATGATGTTGATCTTAAAATGGATTTAGTAGGATGTTAAGTGTAAAGTAGGTTTAGTTTGGATGTTGACCTTAGAGTAAGTTTAATAAGATGTTGATCGTTAAATAGGTTTAGTATGATGTTGATTAGGAGGCACGATGGAGTAATGGATATCAGCTCGGATTGAGGAATCGAAGAGCCGAGTTCGAATTCCAGTCGAATCCATTACATTCACTTACGTACTAATACCCTTCTTCTCTCTCCAGGTATGGGTAAATAGCAGGACAGACAGGGTTCTATAACCTTAGATGGCAACTGATCTAGCGCAGAAAGAAATGGCAACCTACTGCGGGAAAAAATCTGCCTCGTCAGTCATATATCGAAAGATACATGATCGTCTAAATGTGTATCATGCATGGCACATAACTGACTAATTGATTATGTTGATTGTAAAGGAACTGAAATAATATTTCAGTTCAGGAATTTAATGAGAATCCATGATCAAATCAGTTGATCATACTATCTTTAATCTCAATAAAGAACAGAAAAGAACCCAAAAGAACAAAACAATATTAGTGATTAAGGAATGCTTCGTAGGCTGATTTTGGCCATTATTGTTTGAGCCAGAGATTGAACTCAGTGCATGCATAAAACGAAACTAACTTCTCAATAATCCATTTGATCACATCCATTTGGGATCTCTGTTAAAATAGACAAACTTGATTTTAAGTTTATTTTACCGGTCTTGGTAAAATATTTTACCGGTCTTGGTAAAATAAACCCCAGGCTATTCTGCCGGTAAATAATTTTATTATTATGAAGGCGGGTAATGTTAAAAATAACAACACACAAATTTAACAGAGAGGTTTATTTTCACCATCAATTATTAAGACAATTTAAAATCTTTTCCGCCATCAATTATTAAGTTAAAATCATTTATTTAACAATTACTAAAATAAGAGATTTTAATATTTATTTTAGTAATTTTAAGCACTTCAGGCATAAAAGTCTCTGAAAATCCAAAACTTGCCCTTGAGCATGGCTTTCTTGCCAATACACTTCAGGTGCACCCACTGAAGACAACAAACCACAGAATCCATGTTGTTCAAGTCCTGCTTACACAATTCACACAATCGCTGCAATGACGATCACAAATAAAAGATATTCTTCATTCTAAACACTTTATATTTACTGGCAAAAAGGCTTTGGTGTGTATTTTACCGGGGCCAGCATAACAGCCTTGGTTTCTATGTTACCGGGGTCGGCAAAATAGCGTTGGTGTCTATTTTACCTGAGCCGGCAAAATAGCATTGGTGTCTATTTTGCCTAAGCCGGTAAAATATCCTTGGTGTCTATTTAACCTGAGCCGGTAAAATAACCTTGGTGTCTATTTTACCTTAGCCGGCAAAATAGCCTTTGTGTCTATTTTACCTGAGCCGGCAAAATAACCTTGGTGTTTATTTTACCGGAGCCGGCAAATTAGCCTATTCGTTAGAAAAAATATTTTTTGCCTTACTTCTCCTCTGTTTTCTCTCCAGATTTATTTTTCCTATGCAATCCTTTTGACAAACTTGTTTTCATCAATTCTCAATATTGTAATGGTCGATAATGTCAGGGATCAATTATTTTCAATTCTCTTGGTCGATATCGCAAGCGATCAATTAAAAATCGATAACAGCGAACTTTTAAACTTTCATTGATTCCAAAAGAAATTATTGCAAATGAATAAACTTGTCACGAAGAAGATAACACATCACATCTTCGTGGCATTATTGGTAAATATTGCTCATGTCATTGCCAGGATTTCTTCCGACGATGTGACCTTAAAGAAAAGAGTAACAAGAATTCCGATGATTACAATTCTGATAACAGAAAGAAAACAGAAATCTGTAGCAATACTTACACGATGATTTTGGTAAGCTGTCACTGCCATGAATTTCGTCTCTGGGAAAATAAAAGCGCGGAAATTTTGCGTATCCGGACATTCATCACCTTTTGGGTCGATGTAGATAACATGAAAACGAGGCTGATATTTGTGCATGGAGTTCAAGATGATCTGAAAGAATTAAAATGGAAATATTTTTTTTTTAAAATGAAGTAATCAGATTTTTTTTTTGCTTGAATTATTACCACCATTGTTGAGATGTTTTATTTTGAGGTTTGGACGATTGATCAAACCTAAATGTATTAACTGACATTAATATGACATCTATCCTGTAGCTAAATTATTCGTGTGTATATTCTTATTGTGTGCTCTAAGACAGTCAAAAATGATAAAACAAGTTGATTGTAAAAGTAAGACATGAATACCCAAGTTATTTGGTGGCCAACATGCGAAAGACTGATAATTTAAATCTTGTATTAGGCATGGTGGAGTGATGGATAGCGTCTCAGATTGTTGAATCGGAGAACCGAGTTCGAATTCCAGTCGAATCCATTACATTCACTTACGAGTTAAGGGGTATGAATCCTCTTCTCCTCCCAGCTATGGGTAAATAGCAGAACAGACTGAGCTCTATAGTCTTGGATAGCAACTGGTATACTGCAGATAGAAATGGCAACCTAATGCGAGAAAAAAATCTGCCTCGTCAGTCATGTGCCGAAAGATACATGGTCACCTAAGCGTGTGTCACGCATGGCACATGACTGACTGGCTGATTATTCATTTATATAAAGATGTTTTTTTTTTTTTTATCCATGTGACATTGAACCTTTAAAGTAATGGGAAATTACACATAGACGGAAGGTAAAACTCCAAAGACTCACATTGTGTACGAAATAGAGAAAGAAAGAAAGGGCGATACTCTGATATTAATTGTCAATTAACTAAGTTGAAATTCATCAAGTTGATGATTTTACACACAAAAGATAAATGATGAGTGATATAATTATGCAAGTCAGTTTTACCAACCGTTGTTAAACAATCAATGTTACTATTATTTTCAGGATCTAATTTCACTTATACGTGCAATATATCCGAGTTCCGGAACACATGCTTATTTTAAACAAAAAGATATTGATATCCTTTTAAGAGGTTTTATTATGGAAACAAAATACAATACAATTTGTTCTTTATTTGCTTAAAATATGATGATTAGTAAACAGTATATTTATTTAGACTCGCCATATACTGCCTGTGAGAGAGAGGTTAGCGGGTGCAAAATAAACGTTCTCCAACAAGGACTCCGAGATGCTATTGAATTCTATCAAGACTGGACAGAAAGAACTAGGCAGCTTCCCCCCACCCAAATATGCCAGCAGTACTCCATTTTCGGCCTGATCTAGCTCTTATAGAGGTAGAGGATAGCATGAGGAGTCAGGTACTTCCTGGAGCGGTACTGTGAGCTGATCCTTTTGCATCGATGGATTTCACTTGAGGTACTGGGAGCTGATCCTTTTACTTGCATCTTTAGCGATGGATTTCACTTGAGGTCGGGGCCTCCTCGAGGGAACATCTATTCATCGTGACTGGCGGTAGTTCGGTGTCTGATCGGTTGTTCGGTGATGTAATGTAACCAGTTTAGTTTTCGAGGTATTGAATGTAATCAGCTAGTTTTTTCCCCACTGGGAAGTTAGTGCTAGATTCGGAAGAGAGGTCAGCTGCCAATCTCTGATCATCAACATTTTAAGACAAAAGACGAAGGCTGAAGTATGTATCAGCCGAAATGTTAACATCATCAAGTGTATTAAAAAGAAATTCAATTGTCCTAACAAAATTTGGAATACTAATCACTCTTCCCAAAGTTAGAAACAATTTTATTAGTTTATTGCCTATATGCATAATACAGACTGGCACATGCCGAATATGTATAAAAATATTAAGCCCAAGCACCACAGGTCATTCGCCAGTCCCCTCATCTTCAGGTGGGGAATAGGGTTTACTGCCCGGCGCCTGAGGCGTCACCAATAGGGGAAGTACCGAGGGGACTTGTGCAGTTTTTCTACGGTATTGCCATTAAAGCCACTTGAAACCTCAACCTTGTGTCACATTCGGTAGCGACGTAGGCATCTGTTGAGCGTCGTGTCGGACGGACAGATGTATACCCTCACAGTATATAAACTACGCATTAGTCAGAGTTTGTCACTTTGGTCTACAACGGTTAAAACACAGAAATGCGCAGTGAGAGAAAGAGAATAGGCGATGGAGAGAGAGAGGGCAAAGGTGAGAGAGTGAGAGCGAGAGAGAGAGAGTGAGGGCGAGAGAGAGGTAGCGTGATACAGAGAGGGCAAGAGAGAGGGCGAGAGAGAGAAAGTGAGAGCAAGAGAGAGAGTGAAGACAAGAGAGAGAGTGAGAGCGAGAGAGGGAAGGGGTAGTTGTTGCGATTTAAGTGATAATAGGCGTAAATTACATTTTATTAAAAATATCAAATCGAAGCTTTACAAACTTGTTCATTTCACGTAAAGAGGAAGTGGCGCCTATCGTAGGTCAGTGATTAAAAAGCTTATCTCCCAAGCAGTTCATCGTGTGTAAAGTTCGATTCTCACTGCGGTCCTATACTGTTGTGACCAAGTAAATGTTTAAGTAATACCAAAAACCAGGTTTGCAGATATATTGTATATTAAACATTAAGTACACCAGAAGAGTATTACACGACTAGTGAGTGTATCGAATGAACTAGCGCTAAATCTATTCACTGTTATATTTAACAGCCCCATCCCCCACGAGGGATGTATGTGGCACAAGGCCGAGTTTACTGTGGGTTTTCCGAGCCCATAGGGTCGGCCAAAAATATTCCCTTAGAACCCGCATAAACGGGTCCAGGCCTGTCTACCTCCCCGGACGAAACTTTGCCCTTCGGCAAAGCCTCGTCCGGGTTCCTCTCTGTCGAGGCAGAGAGTTCGATAGTTGAACAATCTATTCGACTCTTATATTTAACAGTCTCCCCACAAGGAATGTATGTGGCACAAGGCTGAGTTTAACGTGGGTTTCTCCGAGCCCGTAGGCTCGGCCAAAAATATTCCCTTTGAACCCGTATAAACGGGTTCAGGGACTGTCTACCTCCCGGACGAAACTTTGTCCTGCGGCAAAGCTTCGTCCGGCTTCCTCTCTGTCGAGGCAGAGAGTTTGACAGTTGAACAATCTATTCGACTGTCCCCAAGGCCGTTTCTCCTACTAATCTTATAGTAGGCGGAAGAGTCTAACGTAGACTCTTAGAGGGAGAACACCACAACATATACCCTGTGCAAAATTAAGTTAACCCGAATAAATATAGAATGATACTTGTCATAGAATTATGGTTAACAAGCCTGTCTCTCTGACGCAACGAGATCGATAGTTAATATACTATTATAGCTCTGTAATAGTTTAAACTAAATCCGTTCGGTACAAAATTTTTACTTATATCATTTATATTAAGACTAATATCCACATCTTTGTTGTTACCACAATGTTTCAGCCATTGGGTCTTTTTCTAGTGTCTGTCGATTCGGATTATTTTCACAGCAAAATAGCCAAGTGGAATAAATCATTGATTCGTGAATTTGGTGGCATAGTCATTGTGAGTTCAATCTCTGAGGGTCATAGATTAAATAAAGGGTTCACTTCGAAATGCATTGAAGGTTACTCGGATCGATAGATACCTGAAGAAGGCCGGTGGCCACAATGGCTGAAACATTGTGATAATAATAATAAAAAAAATATGGGCATTAGTTTGTCATCCCAGAAATTCAGGCATATCATTCTTAATACAGAAAAATCGAACTTGAGAGTTCCATTAATATAAACAGGGCCCGTGAATCTCCCCCACTCTGCTACATCTCAATGAATTTTATATAGTGTTTTTTTTTTTTCGAGACTTAGTATGAGCGAAACAAAATCTCGGATTTGGACAAAAAAAGATCACCCCTGAATGACATCAGAACCCGAAATTTTTTCATCCTTTAGTTGTGCTTAGTTTAATTTAACATCAACTTGAGATTTTTCTTGTTAAAAAGTTGAATAATTTAACATACGACATTATGGATTAAAAAAAAAAAATTAATGAATTTTATATAACGTTTTTTCGAGACTTGTCACGTGCAAAAGAAATTAACGGATTTGGACGAAAGAAATGAAGCCAGAATTATGTCAAAATACGCGAAAAATCTTTCATCATTTAATAGTTGTGTTTAGTTTAATTTGTAACGTATATAAATGTAGGTAGAAAACTAGCAAATGTTGATAAGATAACGAGGGTCACAAAGGCTCCCAATGTAGTTCTCCCCGGTCGGAGAGGTGGAGCTAGTAACAACTGGCCCCTGAATATAAATTTCTACTGAACTTATTAAATATCTAATTTGGCTTCTAATGTAGTTCACAATGTGATCTCTGTCTATAAAAGGCAGGATGTCTGTGTGTGTGTGTGTGTATGTGTGTGTGTGTGTGTGTAACGAATGCACGGTCGCAATTTTCGACGGATTTGCACCAAAATTTACATGCACATGCTCCGAGTTAGCAGGAAGGCCAAGACCGACTTTGCATTTCTCAACTCCCATCAATAGTGGAAATAATCGATTTTTTCATGCTTCTACAGCAGTTTTCATGTAGTTTGCGGCCATTTTCTACTGGCCAGAGTGAGAGCCTATAGCTGGCTGCCACGAATAGGCAGGAAGATTCTATTGGCCAGCGTGAGAGTCAACAGCTGATTGACACGAATGTTAATTAGCATGCTAGCATGCAAAAAAATCGGTAGCTGCATTCGTCATAAGTGGGGAAAATTTAAATCTGCAAGGCACTTTACTTCAATTGACTCATTCGCTTGCTTAAACTCAACGTTGATTCTGATTCCGCAGAACTGGGTTGGGTGTAGTAAAGTATTTGTTGTTAACATTCTTTTTTCATTCGGTTTTTCTAGTTACGAGTTCTTTTTTAAAGCTGATCTTTTTGTGTTCATTTTGTTTTGTTCTTTTTTCGTAACAGATTTAATGTTTAGTATAGAGCTTAGAAAAAATTCGCAGTGAGAGATAGGCAAGAAGTAAGGCATGTAGCAACGTCAGCACGGCAAAGGGACTCCTTTAAAGGCAATGAAGGGCAAAAATATTTTAAGTCAATTGATAGCGATTGCTGTATGAGTCGTACGATTTTTGAATCAAGCACGGGCAACGCCGGGCCATACTGCAAGTCTTGGAATAAATATTCACCCGCAAATTGATTTCCGGTACACTTATTTACTCAAATATTTGATTGTCAACCTCGAGAGATTTTAATGTCTTTTCTAATAAATAAGAATAATAAAAGAAGCAGCAGCAGATTTACTTGTTTTTTTTCCCAACAAGAATTGTTTCTCTGAAACAAATAAATGTAAAAAACAAAAATAATTCTAATGTAAGTAAAGGTACTTTACTACAATCTTCAAACCATCGCTTTTTGTTAAAAGCACTTTTATCTGCAGCCATTTTGAATGTCAAGCTGCGCCATAAGTGAGTGACGAAGAAAACTGATAAAATACTTTACAGCTGAAAAAGAAGTAATAGCCATTTGAAAGCCATTGAAGACGTCCAGCAAAAGGCAAGGCAATAGAAAGATAAACGGTTATATTTCCACTTACTTGGCACCGCGGCTTGCGAGGACAATGTGCTTGGGTCATTACTGAATCTAAAGATTTATCTATGTGCCATGTCTTTTCGAGATGTGAACGATGATGTCTCTCCACAAGTTCCTACATTTTGTTACTCTAAATAACGTTTTTTTTATGTTTTTTTTTTTTATTTTTACCATCCCCTTTTCTCTCTGTTCTCGGACATTTTAAGGATTTTACCCGCCGTTTTTCCCCGCTTATCTTTGCTGCCGTTACTAAGTCAGTCAGTTATGGGCCATGCGTGATACTCGCTTAGGCAATCATGTATCTTTTGATACATGACTGACGAGGCAGATTTTTCCCGCTGTAGGTAGACCAATTGTCATCCAAGGCTAAAGAACCCGGTCTGTACTACTATTTAACCATAGATTGAGGGGGAGAAGAGGATTGATACCTTTCCTAAGGGTATTAGCACGTAAGTGAATGTAATGGATTCGAATGGAATTCGTACACGGCTCTCCGATTCCTCAATCCGAGCCGCTATCAATTACTCCATCACTCCTCATCCACAACATGTCTAGAAACCTACAGGAAACTTTTATTGAATTACCTACCTATAATTCTATTTCAGAATGGATACACTAAGACAATACAGAGTTAATATCAGTTATGTGCCATGCGTGATACACGCTTAGGCGATCATGTATCTTTCGATACATGACTGACGAGGCAGATTTTTCCCTGCAGTAGGTTGCCATTCCTTTCTGCGCTAGTTGCCATCCAAGGCTAGAGAACCCAGTCTGTCCTGCTATTTACCCATATCTGGGTAGGGGTGTTAGCACGTAAGTGAATGTAATGGATTCGAATAGAATTCGAACACGGCTCTCCGATACCTCAATCCCTGCCGCTATCCATTACTCTACCACCCGTGCTGTTACTAAAGCTTCTCTTAAAATGCCTCTCTTCGAGTTTCCATTTACCTTTTGTTCCACATATCTGATTTTTACACTGCCCAACTATTTTTACTTCAAGTCCGGCTCGTTCAAGAGTTTGTTGTATTGTAATTTTGGTTATGCCTTACTGAGTTCAATCTCCTGTAGTTACTCAAGTAAGGGGGGAAATCTACTATTTAAACCGAAATAAAACTATATTTTTAGAGTCGCTAATCTTGTACAAAAAACAAAGGGTGTGACAGAAACACCTCCGATATATACTTCCCAAGAATTCTACCCACATAATGGCAAGACATAAACTACAGGGTGCGGCAGAAATACCTCCCATATTTTAAACTATCGCCTAGTGAGCTTCGGCAAGTGGCAATGGTGTCTTTATCTACCTAATGTCTTACCATTATGTGGGAAATATAGAAACGCATAATTTATACAATAACTAAAATCTGTGACCAGAGCGTTTATAAGAAAGGAAATGATTCCGAACAATGCGGCAAGGAAAAAAAATTACAGCTTAAAGAATTGATTACTTATATGAGCAAGTCCCTATTTCAGGAATCGTTTCCATATTTCAATTACGAGAAGAAAAAGTTACACTTGCAAGCAGAAACAAGTAATTCTCTATGAGGATGTCTACCTCAAGCAGAGCGACACAAAATAAAAAAGGGGAGATAAATCTGATGTTAAGTTTTAAAGATTCTTGACATATGTAGAAAAAGATTTTTATCTGATTCTTTCCTAAAATGAATTTTTTTTAGACCCGTTATTCTACTGCAAACATATTCTTAGTTTTGATTTTAAATTCACACGGCAGAAACGTTGTGAATATAGCAATGAAAATGAGGATAACAGTCCGAATAATGTAAATAATGCAAGTAATCATAATACCTCATCTCAGAGATATAACATGTTGAAACCTAGCTTTATGGTCTGAACTGGTGGAACTATAAAGAATGTAGATTATCTGAACATTTGCCATGGAAATACCGATAGATAAAATTACACTATTATTTTATTTTATTTTTTAGTAATTTTCACCCAATACAAGGCAGAGTAGGCACTCATAAGAAAGGGTTACTGTGTGGTGTTGTCTTAGCGTAAAATAGAGCAAGGAGAGAAGTTCTTGGGTTTATACAGGAAAGGATATACAGGAAAGATAACAGCTAAGTCTAGACTTGAAAAGGTCAAGATTTAATAAGTAAATAACATTTCTGAGTTCAGTCAGAAACGCCAGAAGTAGAAGCAGATTTTAGGAGGAACCGGAAACCCATTCCTAAACAGGAAACAAAGAATAAACCTCTACTCCTGATTAAAAAAAAAAATGGAATGCAATGTGAACCGGATGATAGACGAACCTATCGACTCCTTTTTCGTTCTCAGTTTCAGCAAAAAAGTTGTGGGTGATGAAGAACACCTTGGCCTCCTAAAGCACCATGGATGGACCTATGTTAGGGTTCGACACGAACGTGTGTATGCAAAGAGTGTCAAGAAGACTTCTGCACAAACAAAAATATGTTCCAGAGTAAATGATAAATTTACATAAAAAAGCATAAAGTTGGTTCTTCTCCTGCGTATCCATCAAGGGACGGAAAGGAGTGTCCATGAAGGGATGGAAAGGAGTATGCATCAAGGGATGGAAAGGAGTATGCATCAAGGGACGAAAAGGAATATCCATCAAGGAACGGAAAGGAGTATCCATCAAGGGATGGAAAGGAGTATCCATTAAGGGACGGAAAGGAGTATCCATCAAGGGACGGAAAGGAGTATCCATCAAGGGGCGGAAAGAAGTATCCATCAAGGAATGGAAAGGAATATCCATCAAGGGACGAAAAGGAATATCCATCAAGGAACGGAAAGGAGTATCCATCAAGGGATGGAAAGGAGTATCCATCAAGGGACGAAAAGTAATATCCATCAAGGGACGGAAAGGAGTATGCATCATGGGATGGAAAGGAGTATACATCAAGGGATGGAAAGGAATATCCATCAAGGGACGGAACGGAGTATGCATCAAGGGATGGAAAGGAGTATGCATCACGGGATGGAAAGGAGTATCCATCAAGGGACGGAAAGAAATATCCATCAAGGGATGGAAAGGAGTATCCATCAAGGGACGGAAAGAAATATCCATCAAGGGATGGAAAGGAGTATCCAACAAGGGATGGAAAGGAAAGAAGCCGAAAGGTTACCTGAAAATTTGGGATGCGATTATTGTACAAGGCTACAACAAAGTGGGAATCGTACTAACTAAATTCTCCTAGTTTGCCTCTAATTGCTGAACGGCAAAGTCTCTAATTGCAGTCGTTGTTTGTCGAATGGCGCAGCGTTTAACAAAGAATAGTTTTTTGTTAATTTGTTTGTTTAAAAGAAATTATCTTGATTTCCTATTAATATTTCATGTCACGAGAAATGAAAAGTGTAATGTTGCGTTTAGCAGACAAGCTTTATTGACAGACATATAGCCATAGCAAGATTAGTGAATGTAGGAAAGCGGAAGTCGGTTAGAAAGATACAGAAGCACTAATAGCAATTAGGAGTTCGTTAGTTTCGTGACTTGTCAATTAGCGACCAACACCGTTTAACGCTTTATGATGTCCATAAAAAAGCGGGAATTTCGTTTCATCTATTTATCAAAGGATATCAAGTTTTGAACGTTTTTCTTTTTTCCTTGCTTCCTTCTCGTCACTTTTGGTCAGTTGAAATTTTGTATCACATTGCAGGATATTGCATATCATTCGTCAGATCGTTTGCGCCAAGATTGATGACGCTATGCACAAGTGAGGAGAGAAAGTATTTTCTCTTCGTTCCATTTCTATCAAAAGAGACAGCTGTTACGTTTTACTTTTCTCTCTACCCCTTTCTCTCGCTCTCTCTCCCCTCTCTAAACCTCTCTCTCTCTTTCTCTCTCTCTCTCTTTCTCTCTCTCTCTCTTTCTCTCTCTCTTTTCTCTCTCTCTCTCTCTTTCTCTCTCTCTCTCTTTTTCTCTCTCTCCCCCAGTGGGCACAAAGCTTATTAAAATAAGCTCAAAGGTCTTTAAAGCTATAGGAAGTTCGGTCCTCGACCAAAGTCACATACGCCATCTTAGTCCCGATCAAAAAAAGCACACAGTCCTAAAAATGAATGGTTTCATATTCATTGCAAAACTAGCTATGTTTCTTCCTATTTATGCAAGGTGTGACATCATAGGAAGGATTTATTAACCAAATACTATAAACGATTCATTTGCACCAATGATTATATATTTAGTGGCAAAGCAAACTCTGTGAGGAAAATCAATTCATAGTACCGCTGATATTTTATCACCGGCTACGTTTGAAACCGATATTTCTGGTTTCGGTTTTACCTATCTTGTCTAACTGACTTTATCGTTGCTCCATCACACTTCATGTTAACTTATCTAAAATAGAATAGAGCTTTTACACACACACACACATACTCTCTCTCTCTCTCTCTCTCTCTGTCTATATATATGTGTATGTGTGTGTAAATAGATAGGTTAGTTAATAAACCAAAGACAAACGAAAGCGTATCAATATAATCAGTACGATAAACATTTATTAGATATTAATTATTAACCATCTAACAGAAATGAAACTCGGAAAGAAGATTTTAAGTTCGGAATTTTCGGACACTCCTATATCCTTCATCAACGGAGCGGGAAATAAACAGAGGAATGGGAATTACTCATTGACAGATGTTTTTGTAGACGGTGTATTTCTGGTGGAAATCATATTATTAGCAAAAACCCGATCTTTGATTCCTCACTGTGCGAAACTTTAAGAAAATAAACTTAAATTTAGAATTTTGATCGGGTATAAAGCGTTAGGCCAGTCTAGTATTAGTAGTAGAAGGAGAGGGGTTGTAAGTTGTAAACATAGATGAAGAGAGTTATAGGTTGCGGAGTGGGGGAAAACGCCTCGCGTGTAAGGCAGTTGTAGCCGAAAATTGTTCGACAAAGTTGTCAGTTTCAGAATGACGGGCTATTGTTGGAATAACTTGTTAATTTCAAAAAGACCATCTCTAGTTAGAATAACATGTGACGAGACAAAAAGTGAGGTGGAAAAAATGAATATATAATAATAAAATATAATTAAAAGAAATAAAATGAAAAGAACAAAGGGGAGGAACAAAAGGATAAAAATTTGGAAATCTATGGTTAAAAAAAGGAGTACAGAAAATAAAAAAATCTTCTAATCTTGCATATATATATATATATATATATATATATATATATATATATGAAGAAAAATATATACGGAAAAAAAAAAAAAAAAAATCCTTATATACAATTATGTTTTTTAATGTTAATATCAACGTCGGACGTTTCAGTCTGTTAAACCATCTTCAGGACATATTCATAAATTATAACATTATCAATACAACATGTTGTATTGATAATGTTATAACTTATGAACATGTCCTGAAATGGTTTATTAGATCACCGAAACTTTCAGTTATTTGTTTATTAAAATTAAAACAACATAATTGTATATAAGGATTTTTGTTCTGTTTTTTCCGTATATATTTTTCTTCATACTGTCGGATTTATATCCATATATTTGCTTATATATATATATATATATATATATATATATATATATATATATATATATATATATATATATAGGGAGAGAGAGAGAAAGAAAGAGATGCACGATTTAGACCTAGGAATCAATATGGTATGCTGACTGTCAGTTTCACGCTTCAATGTGAGCTTCAGGTCAATTTGGTTTAAAGAGCGCACTAAAGCATGACACTATCAATTACTCAATTACCATGTAGTGTTGATTCCATGTCCACACTGTCTATATCTATAAACGCTGTCTCCGATACTTTAGCAGACTTCCCTTATACCAAATTTTAACATTATTTATATATATGTATATGTGTCTGTGAGTCTGTGTATGCTTGTGTAATTGTTTATAGATAGTGAATTTTAACGAAGCTACCAATATCTAAATGATGCTTTATAAAGGAAAGAGCAAATTCCTCCGCATTCTAGCTGGTTTTAGTAATACAGTCTTCTGACTAGTTACAATCCTTCCCCTCTCGTTGCAAAGTTCCTCGTGACTGTTGGAAATGAACAATAACAACTTTCGTCTTCCGGTGAAACAATTTTCAACACAGTTTTTCACTTCATTTCGAATTTATTTTGTAATTTGCAAGAACAACATCAAATGCCGTCCTGGATATGACGATAAACTACATCGGCATCCTGGGTAAGACGATAAACTACGTCTAACAGCAAGGCCTCTGATCAGGAGGTTTTGAGGAGCGTGGAACCACCTCTTAATTGCTGGTGTTCCCAGGTCCACCCTGACTCGGGGTGGTAGCACCTGTTAGGGTCCCAGCTATGAGCAAATAGTTAACACTCGAACTTGTGTAAAAGTAGGTTTTAATATCAGAAATACTTTGTAATAAAAATTATTACCAGCAATATTTTTTGAAGAAAAAATTATTATCAGCTATACTTATAAAAAAAAATACCAGCAATACAAACAGTTATACATTCTTTGAAAAAAAATATGACCAGCTATAGATGTCTTCAAGGAAAAAAATTTCCAGAAATAGATTTTTGAAGAAAAACATATTACCAGCAATAAAAATTTTGTCTGCATTAAATAACCCATTGAGGTTGATATGCCGTAAAACAAAACAAACCAAACCAAACCAACACCAACTGACAAATTTCTTTCTTCCTCATAAAGATAAAATCTAATTTCGCCTGAACTGCTTCAGCCGCTTGAATTTTAAAGTTTTAGAGAATTTTTTCCAGCTTCAAGACAACTTCAGGTTTACTTATCTATTAATGGTTTAATCACCGATCTATTTTTTTTGTAAATGTAAAAAGCGATACAAAACCTGATTAATAAAAACAAAACTGACATTTTTTTCCGATTTATATATATTTACCATTGTAAAAAAATCAAAAATAGGTATTTTTAAATATCACCAAAGCATTTTAAAAGAGACAACAGAATTTGTTTTTTTTTTTAATTAAAGTACTTCAGAAATTACACCAATGATATACCTATACACAAAGAATTATTAACTATACAGAAAAAATTCTAGAAGTAAAATCGGACTATAATCTCAGTTGTATTATAGCGGTAAGTACATTATTTTATTTATCTAAAATTGAAAACAGACATGTCGAATTTCCGGTAACCCCTTGTTAATTCACACTGCAAATATAACCAATTTTAAAATATTATCTAACTATACAAACATTGTACAACAGTAGATACTTGAAGCGGAATTTAAGAGGTCAACTTATATGCCAGTTCGGCTTGTCGACATTAATTTACGTTAATCTCTGTTGAAAACGAAAGAACGTAAATCTTGTGCGAAACGGAATTGGCTTTGGTGGTGAAATGCAAGCGATACCGGAATTATCAACTAAAGGTCGATTCCTGAAAAGCGAAGTAGTTGGATGGATGAATCATATGGTAAATGGGTCAGACGGTCAGCGAACAGATTGCAGTCTTGGACGGCACAAATTTGTAAAAAGAGAAAACAGGAGTCAAAGAGACGGAATTTCGCAGATCTGATTTCGAACAAAACGTCTCAGCAACTTTTAACATTTTCTGTATCAAATCTTTTATTTCTGACACTTTCATATCTTATGGCTCTTCCAACAATTTTGAAACTTTCCATGTTATTTACGATATCTTGTCTCGCACAGGGTGAGAATTAAATCCACAATTTAGCCTGAAACGAGCTCGTTAACCAACACACTACAGGAGTCACTCACACACACGAACACACACACACACACACACACACATATATATATATATATATATATATATATATATATATATACCCGAATACAAGTTTGGTATATATGGAATAGAATTCCAGTAACCAAAAACACTATTTTTTTTAAAAAAAGTTCTGAATACAAAGTAGAGCGAATAACATTTATTTAAAATTATAACATCAGTATGTTATAACATCAGTCCAAAAATAGCCATTTTGTTTCAATATATCCGGTTTCTTATCAAATGACTTGACAAGACACCAGAAATATTGAAACAAAATGGTTATTTTAGAGTGATTTTATAACATACTTATATTATAATTTTTAAATAAATATTATATATATATATATATATATATATATATATATATATATATATATATATAGAGACAGAGAAAGTGTGAGAGAGCACATGTGGACATAGAAATCAACACTGTATGGTGACTGTCAATTTCATGCCTCAATCGATCTGCATACATTTCTATATGTAGAAACGTTCTCTTGCCGATACTAAAACTCTTCCACAATAAATATAACAAACTTTAAACAATCTAAATATATATATATATATATATATACATACATACATACATATATATATATATATATATATATATATATATATATATATATATATATATATATATACGTTAATAAAAGTAATGAGAAAAACTTTTTTATACCAAGTTTAGAAA